TCCCTCTGCCTGGCACTTTCCCCTCTGAAGACCCTTTGTGCGGATGACACCTTATTATCCTTTGTACACACTTAACGGCTCTAAAACTGCTGTTTTTTATCTTATTTTATTTTATTATTATTTGTGCCTACAGCACCTGGTCTTCCTAGGTGGTCTCCCATCCGAGTACTAACCAGGCCCGACCCTGCTTAGCTTCCGAGACCAGACATCGGGCTTGTTCAGGGTGGCATGGCCGCAGACCACGGACCGTGGCTCCACTGGGGCGTGAACCCAGGCCCTTCTGTGTGTAAAGCAGGTGTGCTCTCCGCTACGCTATGGAACCACGTCCTAAAATGCCGCGTGTGCTCCCCGCTACGCTATGGAACCACGTCCTAAAATGCCGCTTTTTATAGAAACGGCGTCTTCCGTCCCTTTCGATCCTCTTTTAGCTGGTGACATGATGTCACCTGCGGATGTGTCCGTCCCTTGTTATTTTCTCCCACCACCACGTCAAGCTACGTCTAGCAGTCGCCTCCGCGTGGTGGCCCGTAGCCATCAGTGGCTATTTAAACTTCGGTTAGTTACACTGAGATAAAATAAAAAATCCAGGGTTTCGGGCTCACTGGCCACATTTCAAGTGCTCCAGAGCCACCTGCGGCCACCCGCCCACCCCTCCACAGCACAGACCACCTCCGTCATGGCAGAAGGTCCCTCGGGTGCCTCCTCTGGGGGCGGGGAGCACGCGCGTCTCCGCGGCTGCAGCCCCCACGCCCTAACGGGAACTAACCACACCAACGCACGCAGGAATGAATGAAGGCGTGAGCGGGAGGATGGACGAATGAATGAATGGATGGATGGGTGAATGGGTGGCCCGCCCCCGGCCTGCTTCCTCCGAGACCCCACCTTGGCCTCAGGGTCGGTGCGGAAGAGCCCCTCCAGCGCACGCAGGGCGTCGATGACACCACGGTCGCGGTCCTTGCAGTAGGAGAGCAGGCGGTGCACGTCGGCGGGCGCCAGGAACTGCTTGGACACCTTGTTGGTGGTGCGCACCGGCAGGCAGGTGTTGGCCAGCAGGCGGCCCGGCCGGAAGTAGTAGGCGAACTCGATGGGGCAGGCCGGGTGCGAGTGTGTCAGCCGGCACTCCGTCACCACCAGGCGGTCCCGCAGCGGGCTCAGCTTGACGATGATGAAGGCGGGGCAGCCGGCCTCACGGTGCCTGCGGGGGGAATGGCCGCGGCCGCCGTCACTCCACCCGCTGCCCGCTTCTTCCTGCCCTCTCCTCTTTAAAACTTATTTTAAAAAATCAAGAATGGTTTCAAGCACAGAAAAGGGTGGAGGGCCCTGAGAATACACCAGCTGTCTGACCTCGGCCAAGTCACTTCAGGTCCCTGTGCCTCAGTTTCCTCGTATGTTAAAAGGGGGGGAGTTATAATCGCAACAGCTTTCTCGTAGGGTTGATCTACGGAAAGCACTTACAAACAGCCCCTGGAACACGGTGAGCCCTTTGTGTTGGCTGTAATTTTGTACCCATAACTCCGGCTCTGTCTAAAGTGAATGAATGTTTTATTGTATTTACCTCGAACGCGTTTCAGACAACATTTCAGATCACCCTGTGTCTGCTTCTGATTGAGCAACAACAAAATAGAAAATTGAGGCCCTCTGTGAACCCTGCCCTAACAAAGTCCCCTCTTCCCTCCCTCCGTCCCCAAAGGTAGCCATGACCTAAACTGGCATTTAGCATTCCCGTGTGGTTTTAGGCACCCACCAACAACGGAAGTTAGGTTCCTATGTTTTAAAACGGTATACGTGAAAAGGCGCTCAAACTCATGAGTCATCAAAGCAAGACGAATTTAAGAAAATGCATGACACGCCACCAGGATGGCCTGATAGAAGACACGGATAACATCGAGTGTTGATGAGGACGCGGAGCCACTGGAACTCTCGTTTATCGCCGTCGGGAACTGTCAAATGGGTACCATCGTTTGCAGAAAACTGAGAGACTGTACTACAACGTTCACAGCGGCAACATTTGCATTAGCCGAATACCTGAGACTACCCAGTATATGACAGCAGAGTGGGAAAGGAAGTTGTGACATATTCCTAGAATAAAATACTAATCAACGATAAGAATGCGCCGAACGTTCCTATCCCCAACAATGTGGGCGGATCTCACAAACCATCACGATTCTCGTTTACAGACAGTTCACCAACGGGTAAAGCTAACCCCTGCTGGGGATGGGCTTGAGTGGTTAACCCTTTGGGGGGCCTGAGGGGCTTCCTGGCACCGGACATGTTCTGTCTCTTGTTCTGGGTGCTGGTTACGTGTGCATTTTATTTTGGGAAGACTCGTCAACTTACACACGTACGATGTGTGTATTTTTCTGAATATGTTATACTTTCTAAACGTTTTCTTCTGTGAAGCTGCCCATCTTGGCAGAGACTAGCACGTGCCCTCTGGAGTCCCAGGACCTTACGTAATCGTCTGCTGTGGCCTCAACGCGTCATTTTGCAATTTCTCTTCACCCGGCCGCGAGAATAAAGCCATCCGCCTTTCGATGTAAACTCCACGTGAGCACAGCTTTTTGTCTGTCTGTTTACCCAGCACCTAGAACCACCCCCGGGACGAGCTCAGTAAGGATATGAGCGAAAGCCTCGCGCCACTGGAAGAAGCCCAGGCACCTAGGCAAACCTACCGCTCGCCCATGAAAACCGCCCGTCGCCAAGTCCTGCCTTCTAAACTCTCCATCCCATCCGCGTTTTTCCATTCTCACTGTGAGTTTTCAGGAAACAGTCTTCTCTCATCTTTTCACCTCGTTAACTCCTACCCGTGCTTCACAACTCAGAGTCAGGGTCACCTCCTCCGGGAGGCCCTCCTTCGCCTCCCCGGGCTAGCGCAGACTGCATTACACACGGAGGCGCTCGTTTGATTGATGGCCATCTGTAATGTATGCTCCCCACTGGACGGGGAGCTCACCCACGGAAACCCCGGCATCTAAAACACATTCGCCCAGTACATTCGACCCTCATACTGACGATCCATGATTGAAATAAAGATGAGGGGCTGGGAGGCTGGCTATTAAAAGCACGGGCTTTGCGGTCACTGTGGTCCAGTTTTGCTTTCTCAGAGGCTGTGCTGTCTTGAGCGAGTCCTTAACCTCTCTGTGCCTCAGTGTTCTCATCTGGAAATCGGGGCTAATGATAATACCGACCGCACAGCCTTGTTGAGCGATCCGAAGAAAAGGATTAAATTATGCAAAGAGGTTGGAGAAGGGGCTGGGACACAGCAGTTACTGACGAGTAGCCGCAGTTTCCGAAACGTCCTACTGCTTTGGCTCGTTTTACACGCCACTGGCCCGTTTCTTCTCGGTCTTTCTGGTCGAGCTCTCTTGTGTTTTCAAAGGCTTGGCTTGCATTCCTGTCTCTCTCCTCCAGGCCACCCCGCCGTGGGCTCTTCCTGGACACAGAAGTGACCTTGCTCACAGTTCCCCGGGATTCCCCAGGGCTCCCAGGAGAGAGCCCCAGGCCCTGGACTCGGCCCTGGCAGGCCCGGGCCTCGCTGCTGTTCCAGCCGCGTCTCACACTAACTCTCTCCGGCTCTGGACCCTGGCGTGGGGCTGTCCCCGGGCTGTGACACTGCCCTGACTGAGCAGCTGGGGGAGATAAAGGGGCTCACGAGCGAGAGCCCCAAGTTATCCCTGAAGCGGCTCAGCAACCACTCCCGTTCCTGGGCCTCCCATCTGGGGACCGTCCCAATGTCCACCCAGTCACTAGGCCAAGCCCCCTCCACAGCCTGTCACTTCTCAGCCCCGTCCCCCAGCCCGGCTTGCTCTGATATTTGTAGAGCACTTAAGACAGTGCCTTCGCAGGGTAAGAGCCACGTGTTTAAGTCTAATACTGTATGTACGTAAATATGAAAACAAATAAAACCCTTCAAGAGCCTTCTTACTGGTCACCTCTTCCAGGAAGACTTCCAGAACTGCCCTGTAAGCTCTCAGGTGGAGCTGACCACTCCCTTTTATTCTCTTCCATCTCCCCCTGCAACCTCTCTCTCACCACTGTGGGCCATTATTTCTCCCTCCACCTCTCTTTTTTTTTGGGGGGGGGGTGAGCACCTTTGTCTCTTCCACTAGGTTCTGAGCTCCTCTAGGGCAGAGACCAGCTCTGGGTTCCAAATGCCCAGAAAAGGGCATGCACACAGTAGGTGCTCAGTAAGTGTTACTTCGGATTGGAGTCTGTTAATGAGAGATTCCAGCTTGGGCCTAAGCTTCTTGCAAGCTCTAATGTTCTAGATTTCTGTGTGGTGAGGTGCGTTGGATGCTGTTGTGCTTCCAGATCTCAGAGTCTCTGTTTCTAAAATTTATTTGAATAAATCACCAAGAACAGTAATCTCACAATCGACGTTTAGATAACTACGGGTGAGCGTCTCTGTTACAAGAGCTCCTTCGGCTCATTTAAATCACACAGAACCTGCGAGATCGGTTCTAGTCTCCGATTTTCCAAATGGGGACACTGAGGCCCGGACAAAGTGAAGTCACTAGCTCGACGTCATCTGTTAATCAGCAGCAGAGCGGCGGTCCGCAGCCAGGAGTCTGTGCTCTTGACCCCTGGAATAGCGGTCATTGACCCAGCTGCCCCGCGTTCCAGGCACCAGGTAAGCGCCTTCCGGCACGTGGTCTCACGGCCACCTCCCAGCAGCCCCTGGAGGCGGGTACTGCAACAGCCCCATTTCAGAGACGGGAAAACCGAGGTGTGGGAATGGGAAGTCCTTTGCCTGAAGACACCCGTCTCCAGCTGCCTGAGGGCAGAGCCCGTGTCCCCAACACTCTCCTCTTGTCTACGGCTCCCTAATCCAGGGTCGCAAACTCTTACGCCTACGGTGTCCAACAAGGAAATACAAAGCTGAGGTGGCTGACGGCGGTGGGGGCCGGGGCAAACCTGAGTGCCAATGCCCGGTCTAACAGGGGCGGCCGTCTGCCACACGGGAATGTGGGCTCAGCCTCTTCCCATGTTTCAAGGGAAGTCAGAATCCCAACATTCTGTGGGGAATGTTCCCAGTTTAAAATCAAGGTCAATCGAAACATCCTTGGCCACCAGCGTGTGTTTCTTAGCTCACTTTTGGATTTTTCACTTGCCCCTGTTGTAGCATTACGTGAGCCTGCTCACCGTCAATCTGCCCGCTCAGTTCCAGAAGGGCAGGGGATCTGTCTGTCTTGCTCAAACGCCTGCCCCGCCTCCCCCAGTGACTATTCCTGGTCCCCAGCACGGAACTGGGTCCTGTGTTTACTGAATGGATGGACCTTTTCTATCTTTGGCTTTTCTGCAGCTCTGTCTCTGATCACTCCGTATGTTTTTCTGGCCGTCTGATGTCTCTGGCCCCATGTCTCCGTGTTTCTGGAATTTCCCGTGTCTTCTTTTCTCTTCTGTCTCTCGGGTGTGTACGTCTATCTTACTCTCCGCCCCTCTATGGGTCTCTGTTATAAAGTCGGTAAGGGGAGCCCACCGTGTCCCTCAGTGCGCGTGCCTTTGTCCCTCCCGCTCCGCCTCCCGCTCTCAGGAAGGTGTGTTTAGTCTTTTTAGTCGGCGTCTCTCTCCCAGTCCCTGCCTGGGTGGGCGGGGCTGTGCGCGGACCCTTCCGCCTTGCCTCCCTCTCCCCCAGCTCACTCACCCCATGGCAGGCCGGCTGGGAGCACGCACGTCCTTGCACACGAGCCGCACGTAGCTGTACTTGAGCACATCGATGAGTGTGTAGAGCGGGGGCAACCTGGCCCAGTGGCAGCGGGTCAGGTGCATGGAGCTCTGGACGAAGAAGAGCGCCAGCCGCTGCTGGCACCACGCGTCGAAGAAGCGGCTGAACTCAGCCCACGAGAAGAAGGCCCGCTCCAGCAGCTCCTGCTCTTCCTGCTCCTCCTGCCCCACTGCCATGCCGGGCGGGGGCTCCATCCTGGGGTGCCTGAGTGGAAGTGGGGGGGACACGAGGATATCAGACCCATACCCACCTGAAGTATCCCGCTCCCTCCATGTTATGCCTGCCTCTTTGGGGCCGGTGTTGCTATCCAGGCGAGTCCCGGGGCGGGATGCACCCCCCGTTCTCTTGGGCCTCCTCCCACCCCTTGTATTATTCCAGGGACAGTTGGAGCTTGTCATTCTGATCCCTAATTCCAACTCTGGTTTCTTCTTCTACAGATGTGACCTCCTAGGTACAGTTGGTGTCCCTCTCCAAAAAATATGACTCTTAAGCTCAGTCGTGGACACCTCCTGAGATGTGTTCTCGACTTCTAGCCAAGACCTCCTCCCCCTCCAGAAGAGTCTCCTACATTGGCAGTGACCTCTAGTGCCCCGGTCATATGGAACTCTCCCCTCCATGTGTCTATACTTGGCTGTACCCCACATCCGGTGGTGCCCGCCTCTAAAGATGTTCCATCTCCAGATGCGGTCCTATATCCGGCCACGGACCCCTCATCACCAGTCATATTCTTCGTGCACATGTGGCTCCTTTCTCTCCAGATGTGTCTCCGACATGCAGCTGTTACACCTCCTCCAGCTGTGGCCCCTATAGGTCCCCACATCCAGCTGTGGCCCCTGCTTCCCAGAAATGCTTCCATAGCTAGACGCCCTCCCCTTATCCAGCATGTACTTTTCCCCTACAGGTGAGGTGTGTGACCCATTCACTTGTGGCCAGTTCTCAGAAGTGTCACCAATATTCATCTACGGTCCCCTCCTCCCGTCTACAGCTATCAGAGGTGCATCCTCGTCCCGGACGCGGCCCCCGGTCCTCAGATGGGCTCCATCACCCCAGATGCTCGCTCGCGTCCAGCTGCGCCTTTCCCCTGATGCAGCCCGTCTCAGCCGGCTCCCGCCCCACCAACCCCCGCCAGCTCTGCCCGCAGCAGCCCCTTCCGTCCCACCCTGCTGTGCCTCTCCCCTCCCCCAGAGGTGCGCCCTTCCCGCCCCTCCCCGCTCACCTGCCCGCCCCG